CCCCTCCCGACCCCCCCTCCTCCGGAACCTCCCGACCCCCCCTCCTTCGGCGGTGTCCGTTTGTTGAATCAGTTTAAAAGGTATGATTTTTCTACTGAGCTTTAGAAATTTCAATTTTATTATTATTTATTGTTGAATTTGGTTTAAAACCCTAATTATGATAAAAAAAAATAAACGAGTAAAATTCTGAAAACCCTAACTCAACTACATGTTAATTCATTTGTACAACACTAGTAATCATTATTGAATTTTAAACACTTACAATACTCATTTAAGTTTCATTCGTGCTATAAGTATGTATGATTATTTAAGTTTGTGATGTGAAAATATGTGAAATAATTTTTTTTAAAAAATAGAGTGATATATAACACATTATAAATTTTTATAATGTGTTATAATCCAATTTAGGTGAATAAAAAAATAACGTTATCCCTAGACTTCCGTCCAATAATTACATCCAATTATTTGGACTTATAATATATGATATACGACTCAGATTTGAGTAGGAGACGAAGTTTTCTCCCAAAAATGAGCGTTTATTTTATATTATAGGAATAAAAAATTGGTACTGAAATTCGTAATTATTGGATCTGTCCTTCTCGGACGGGTTAGGAATATAGTTGTGCATACATCCAACTTTGTATACTTTGTATATTTTCATTCTTGAAAGTTTTGGCAGCACCTATTCGTTGTTCTGCGTGTACAATAAGCGTATGTTGTTCTATGTTTTGGGTTATTACTGATACGCATAATAACATCCGCACAGTGTACAGGGAGAACAGCGGGTAGGTGCTACCAAAATTTTCAAGAAATGAAAATATACAAAGTATATGAAGTTAGATGTAAGCACTACTATATTCTTAATGGATAGAAGCCTTCCTATGACTGCCGCAAGATTAGTGTAATTAGTTTTTACTTACGTTTTATATATATTTTATGTAGATAAATATTCATATTGTTAAATCATATATGAATGTATGTTTGATATGTGTTGAATGTATAAGAGTAATGGATGTATTAGTAGTTGTGAGACTAATCGTATTTAATAATTATATATACTTTACAGATGAGGATAATTCCTAACAAATCATGGATAGATATCCCTAGGCATCGTAGATTTCATGACACACGATACAAGGAGGGATGTGAAGCCTTCATGCGTTATGCGGAAATGAATCCGAGAAATTTAAGAAGCGGTGCTATGTATTGTCCTTGTTGTAGGTGTAGGAATTTGAAGCTGCTGAATAGAAATGATATACGGATTCACCTAATAAAATCAGGTTTTGATGAGTAATATAAATACTGGAACTGGCATGGGGAAGGTATCACTGAAGATGAGGATCCAAATATGCATGTTGGTACGTCCAGTGGTCAACGAATAGATGACACAGAAATATTGTTGAATGATATTTTTCCTCGACCTACAGAATATGATGTTGATTCTCGTCAAAAGGGCTCGTTCGACCCTCAAAGAACGTATACAAAAGCGTCGTGCAAACGCAGCTCTTGTCTGTGCTCTCTCACAACAAAGACGAGAAAGGAGGAAAGAAACAGTGACCAAAGAACCACCGAAACTCCGCCAAGTTTGGATTCCAAAGTCTGGACTTATGCAAAATCAGCATTCGGAGCCCGTTAAGACCCCATACCCGCAAAGGGGTGGTTTTAGACGTGCGACTCCCGACATAATCTTGGATCGCTCAAAGACAAAAATAAATTGTTATATGAGGGATGTACCGAGTACTCCATATTTTCATTTATGCTGAAACTCCTTCATATTAAGACACTTAGCGGTATGTCAGATAATTATTTTGAAATGCTTCTTGATTTGCTTCGGACTGTAATCCCTGGAGGAGAGAATAGCATACCCCAAACAACTTATCAAGCTGAGAAGATTGTCTCTGCTCTGGGTCTTGATTATAATAAGATTGATGCATGTCCGAATGATTGTATTTTGTACCACAAAGCCAAAAAAGACCTTCAAGAGTGTCCGACATGTGGAGTTTCTAGGTGGAAACAGCGCACAAATTCTTCAACAAGGATTACAACGGAGACAGGGATAACACAGAAGAAATTTCCAGTCAAAAGTGCTTCGACATTTTCCATTGGCTCCTAGATTGCGAAGATTATACATGAACAAGGAAACGGCAAAGAGGATGTCTCGACTCCAATTAAGAGCCATCAGGCGCAGAGATTACAAGAGAATGCATGAAGGAATGTCCTCGGAGGATGAATTCTCAGACACTTGTTCAGCCATTGCTTCTGATGATACAATGTCTGGCACGGGACGAACCAGAGAAGTACTCACGATCACCTCTGATCAATTTACTCAAATACTTCAAGAAGCTCTAGCCAAACAACGTGAAGAAATTAGAGCTGAAGTGAAGACAGAAATGGAGTTAGCTATCCAACAAATGAGAGAATTGCTAGCTCAGCGGCCTCAACTCCCTGAGTCCAGTCAAAGAACTGAATCCAGCTGCCACACTCAGAAAGTTGTGGAAATATTTACCTCCATTGCTTTGTATGAACTACTTTATGAAACTTTCATTATACTGAACTACCCAGGTAAGCATGCTCCGAGAATATAGATATTATGTCTCTTAGAGCTCTATTGATGAGCTAAAACATATTATGTCCTGAACGAGATATTTAATAGCAATATGGCTGCCCATTAAAAGATCGTTTATTACAGATATCATCTATCATGACGATTCACTAGTAGAAACTGAGCATTGCAGACGGGCATAGGCGAACGATTTCAAAATCCGCCGCCAAATACCAACATTAGCACGAAAACATTGGCGCGGGGATGTTTCCGTCCCAATGTTTGTATTGCACAGGATTTCAATCCGTCGCAACAATGAATTTATACTTCGCCCCATAACCTTTGGAGACGGTGAAAACGATAGCGACGGATCAAATCCGTCGCCAATTAGATAGGATGACGGATAATCGATCCAGGTCGCCCAATAACTACTCAGCCGACGATTCGACCGCGCTAATGTCCGCTGCTATAATACATTATTGTGCAGACGATTCGATCCATCGCCAATAAGTATGAGCGACAGATACGAATACCAGTCACCAATAAATAAAGTATTGGCGACGGATTCGAGCCGTCACCAATGTTCCGTCGCTAATACTTATTGACGACGGATTCGAATACGTCGCCAATACTTATTGGTGACGGATGCTATCCGTTGTCAATGCTAATGTGTCCATCGTAAAAAAATTAACGTTAGTGATTGATTATCTCATTGTTAATGAGTGGCCCCACAAAAATTTAAGAATTATTTTAATATTAGTCCCTCAAATCTATAATATTTTAACTATAGTCCACCAAATTATGTAAATTATTAACACATCTAGGAATGTAAATGAACCAAATAATTAACAAATAGTTTGATAATTGTTCAAATATATTCAATCATATTCGATTATGTAGTTCATTTAACAAATTCAAGTTTGCTAACGATTAGAATTTAACCAGATGTATATTCGATTTGTTTGTTTATTAAATATTCGTTTAAAATTTACCACATGTTATTTGTATTATTGCATATATGATGTCATATTTGTGAGTTTTTGACTTCATCATTGATTAGTTTAGAGAAAATGATGAGAAAATTGAAAATGATGAGAAAATGATGAGAAAATCTATTTTCTAATTAAAATTTGATTTAAATATATACACATCATATATATAGCATATCAGAATAATTCTTATTTATTTATGAATTTTAATAATACTTGAAAATTAATTTCTTTAGCGAAATAGATATACTTTGATATTGGATAAGTATTCGTGAGTTTTTGGCTTCGACTTTGATTAGTTTAGAGAAAATGATGCGAAAAGTGAAAATAATGAGAAAATGAAGAGATACCGAGTGTTTGCGGTGAAAGTTGATGTTTTTATTATTATCGAATCTATTACAACTTTAGTCGTTACAATAAATTCGAATAAAATAAAAAAAGTTGATCTTTTTATAAGATCTCCTTACACAATGAAAATAAAAAGTTTACAACTTTATCAAACAAACGCAGAGATCGTTTATCGGTCTTCTGCTTGCGTGGGATCTTTGCCTGTGCCGGGGTTTATCCGTGGACCACCGTCGATCAGATCTGATTGCTGAAAATTTGGGCAGAGCTTCGTCTATCCGCGAATGGATCGAGAAATCGTAGCTCTTATCTCGGCGAAGCGAGATAATCACTCTTCTTAAGATTACCGCAACGGGATAATCTTAAGGCGAGATAATCACTCTTCTTAAGATTACCGCAACGGGATAATCTTAAGGAACGGATCCGGGAAACTGTAGATCTGACGAATCTCTCTCTCTCTTAAGGAACGGATCCGGGAAACTGTAGATCTGACGAATCTCTCTCTCTCTTACGTTGAAGAACTCGATCTGATCTCTCCTTCTCCTCTCTGAAATTCGTGCACCTTCAGCCTTCAATCCGGCAGGGCTTCGCCTAATCTCCAAAATTCCAGATCTCGAAAAATGAGGGCCTGAGGCTTGTATTTATAGGCCCGGGGGAGTTTGGAGCGGTTAAAACCAACTAAAGGCCCAAATCTACGTTGGAGACACCTCTCTGAAATTCTGTTAGTCCACGTAGTTCGTCGATTCACTTCAAGCGTTCACCGACATCAATCGAACTCCTGTGAACCGGATAGTGACGTTCATCGTCGTTCCTTAACACTGAGCTGTTCGTGGAAACCTATAGGCAATTTTCGATGCCTACACCGAGGAGATCATTTTTAGTTATACGTGTGACGTAGCGTGAAAGTTATAACCTCAGAATCCACCAAGGGTGTTCTCTGAATCCACAAAGAACGATCTTCGAATCCACGAAGAACTTCGAATCCACGAAGAAAATATTGAAAAGAGAAATTTTATTGATGAAAAGTTAGATTTAAAGGAATATTTTTCTAAATCTAATTGGTGTTAACCAGGGAACCTAATTATGAGCATTGTGATGATTTGAGTGATGTAATAGAAATTTCCATGATTTGAGTGACTAATTTTGAAATATTAAAGATTTGTTAGTGTTTTTTTATATATCTTTATGACTTTTTATTAGTTTATTTTATTTTCCTCGAACTAAAAGAAAATTTCCATAAAACTTTGTTTGTTTCAACAATATTTTGGAATTTGTAATATTATAATTTGTAATATTTTGTTTGTTAATAAATGTTATTAGTAATGGTTATGATAATAAATGTTATTAGTAAGAAATATCAAATCATAATAAATGTTATTTGTAAATATCAAATGTTATTTTGGGATTTGCTAATAAATGTTATTAGTAATGGTTATGATAATAACTAATTCTAGTTTCCTATTAATAACGGTTCACCTTTTCATTTATAAATTAAATTAATTAAAATATCAAATCTGTTTTGAAATAAAATGTGGGAAATGAAAATTTGGGCGCTCAAGTAGTAAGAAAATCTAAAAAAAATTGGGCGACTCCTTCGTTCTTCTCTAAAAATTGGGCGCCTCCTTCCTTCTTCTCTCGCATTCTCTAATGCGCAAACTTTAACTCATTCTCTAATGCTCAAACCATAACCCTAGAATCCCCACTGCTTATTGCCTCCTCTAGCAGCTCCTCCTCCATCCCCACGCCAGCCTCCCCCAGCCCGAAACCACCGCCGGGCCTCCACTTGAATGGCTCGGCCGACCTAGCCCACCTCCGGCCGCCGTCAATCCTCGCGGCAGCTCCTCGCTCTCCCCCGATCCCCGCCGTCACCGTCACCGAGTTCCACATCTCTGGCCTCAGCCTCGTCGTCAACCCCAGGCCCTTCCCCCGCGGTCGCATCTCCTTCTTCTACTGCTCCAGCTTCCGTGACTCCACCGCCGTCCGCTCCTTAGCTAAAGAGGAAGGACTGAACGACCATTGCTTGGAGATAGTAAGAAAAGATTGGGACCGAATTGCTTGACTTTTTTGTTTTAATGCACATCAAGTGTTTGATAATTTGCTGACTAGACCTGAATGCTGTCTGTTTTTTCTCTTTTCTATTTAATCTTTTGTTGGCACACCAGATATTTGATAATTTGGGTATGAGTGTAATCTTTAATTGGATAATAGAAAATGTTGCAAGTGTAGCGTTTGATCAACCATGTTTATGATTGAATCCAGTATACCATATAGAGGCTGGATAATTTTTTTAAGTATGAGATGATATGCAGTCGTTAACAATTTTTATTTTTTTTTGCTTTTTTACAGGTGGAGATTGCTGCTCTTCTTCATGACATTGGTAAGTTATTATTCTCTACCCTCCATGTCTGGAAAAGGTGCATTGTTTGTACTCTATTACTGATTAGGAGGCTGTTTTTGTTCTTGGTTATTGCAGGAGACTACAAGTATACCAAGTGGGTACCTTTCTTTACTCCTTGGTTTCCGAGTGTGGTTATATTTTCTATAGTTATTCGGTCCATGATGCCTAATTACTAAAATTAAGAAGCAGACTAAATGAATTCTTATATTTTCTATAGTTATTCGGTCCATGATGCCTAATTACTAAAATTAAGAAGCAGACTAAATGAATTATGCATCATGATGTCCTTAACTTCCATGATGCCTAATTACTAAAATTAAGAAGCAGACTAAATGAATTATGCATCATGATGTCCTTAACTTTCCGGAGCTTCCATATTGTAATGTCACCCTGATTGTTATCTATTTCGTTTTTGTTAAATTCATGTCCAAAAATTGAGTATCATTTGTAAGGAAAAAGGAACCTTCATGCCTTTGGGATTTTGATCTTTATGTGCAGAGACTTGGTTGAGGATATATCAAATCCTGAAGAAGTTTCTCAAGAAAGAGGGATTGAAAGATAACAAACCAGAGAAAATATTGAGCATCATAAAAGGAATGGGTATGCTTCTAACTTTTGTGGCTTTAAACTCTGGTTTGAAATCATATTCTTGTATTAAGTAACATTTTTATTATATAATTTAATAATTATGGATATATTTGTTGACATGATTTATGAGTCTAGTTTGCTGCTTAAGGTCCTCCTTGTATTAGAGGACAAGGACGTCATCGATTTCACCCCTTCAGGTACCTGTTCTATCTTTCCCCTGTTTCTTCTTGGATGTGTTTCTTCTTCAATGTTTTAAAATAATTCACAATTAAATACTAATACTAATATATATAAAAAATCAATCAAGAGAAGATGTAGAAGTTTTCATATGCAGACAACTTTTATTTCTCGAAATTGTATAAGCTGTAAAATTTCCATACATAAATTTCATTATATCTACAGAAGTTGTATGGAATTTTTATATGCATGAAACTGGTTACTCAAATGTGTATAAATATGTGGAAATTCTCACATATGATATTTAAAATTTTATTTTATAAAATTTCTATGTTGAAGTATTTCTAAAATTTGTAAAATTTTATTTTATAAAATTTCTATGTTGAAGTATTTCTAAAATTTGCATATGCATGTATCAGATTTTGACCGAGTGTGTAAGCAAATAAGTACTACACATTTTCTATGAAATTAGATGAGTTCAGTGGAAGAGGAGATTGTACTGCGCATGTGTTCATTTGCTACTAAGACTTTACTCCATTTACTATTCGTCATTGTCCAAGAATTTTATGCTTCGAAGAAGACCTCCATACCTCGAGAACCATCTGTCATTAGAGATTTACATAGGAACATCCACATGAGTAGGATATTGGGCAGACCAAGCTCAAGTTGTGTTGATTATCTTAGGATACATAGGGGACCATTCATAAATTTAGCAATATTGTTGCGAGAGGGAGGAATTCTGAAGGACACCATACATGTATTGGAAAATCTGTTGCTGGTAATAAATTATATAGATGAAAGGGTAGGGGTCATCGTGAAGTCTATTGTTGTTCTAATTGCCACTGAAGGCATCATGTGTTTAGAATATAAATTAAATGCATAGTAAATATAAAAATCTAAATTGAAAAAGTTATTACGAGTCAAGTTTTGTAGAAAAAGATTTATTTTTCTTAATCAAATAAAAGGAGTAATTTACATGGTATGTATTTAGTTTGCTTTTACTTGTGGTGCAATGAATATAAATGATAACACAGGGAATAATCCTTAAACTATTAACTTCCTAATTTATTAATATTTGCACACATGTATTTCTAATTAGAATTCTTAATTTATGATATTTTTTGGCGTTTGACGAGCATGAAGTTCATGCTGGTGGAGAGGTATATATGACGTGACATATATGTATTTATTATGAAATTTTTGGTATATATATCTTATGTGGAGTGATAATCTTTTCAGGTTAGAGGCTCCCGTAGGGAGCAGTAGTACGATACGACGTTCTAATGCAGGCGATGCTGATAACAAGGATGCCGACAACAACGATGACGAGGAGTGAGTGAGACTTGTGTTAAGACAAATTATGACTTTTGAATTTTACTTATATGTAATATATTTGTGTTTTTTATTGCGTAGTGGATGAATATTATTTGAGCATGCGAGATATATTGTGATTGTGATTAGATGATGAGTATTGTTCGATAATATGGATTGACAGATGAAATTGGATGAGTATTTATTTTGAATGTGAATGTATATCATGGTTGATTTTATGATATATTGTTAAATATTATCATTGGATTGATGTCGATATAGGTTATATGTGTATTCTCGTATGGGAGGCTACCAGAAAATTTAATTTTTTTTTACGTAGATATATACATTGGCGACAGATTTCCCCGTTGCCAAAGCACATTGGCGACGGGGAAATCCGTCGCCAATGCCTAAAACATTGGCGACGGGGATTTACTCGTTGCCAATGTTTTAAGCATTGGCGACGGATTTCTTCGTCGCCAATGCTTATTGGCGATGGATTTCTCCGTCACCAATGCTTATTGGCGACGGACGTCGCCAATGCTTAAAACATTGGCGACGGGTAAATCCCCGTCGCTAATGTTTTAGGCATTGGCGACGGATTTACCCGTCGCCAATGTTTATTGGCGACGAAAACAACCCGTCGCCAAAGAAATCTGTCGCCAATAGTCGTCCGTCGCCAATAAGTATTGGTGACGGGGAAACCCGTCGTCAATACTTATTGGCGATGGATTTATTGGCGACGGATCCATTTCCGTCACCAATATGTATTGGTGACGGATTTTAGGGTATTGGTGACGGATTTCCCCGTCGCCAATGCCCTGTCTTCTACTAGTGATTAATGATTTTCCAGCTTATGCTAATCTGTCCGGGTACTCTACGAAGGGCAAGTGTGCTTGTCCTTTATGTGGTCCAGAATTTGAAGCTCTTCAATTAGCACATAGCCGAAAGAGTTGTTATTGGTTTAATCGAAGGTGGTTGCCCTTGAGTCATAAGTACAAAAAATTATCAGCTAAGTTTGATGGCACAGTTGAGAAAAGAATGAAGTCGCGTCAACTGACAGGTACTGAGATCGTTCAATTACTTGAGGGGTTTCCAAAAGTTGTGTTTGGGAAAAAACGCTATTCTAAATTTAACCCGCTTGGAGTAAGAGATTACTTAAAGTTAAAAAAGCCATTGAAGCGTAAGCACAAGGTCCGTAAAATGCAAGTTAAGGACGAAGCCCAAACATTACCTAGAGGATGGAAACAAACTCACCACATTCCAAATCCAGCTAGCCAAATAATTTATTCAAAAGGTATTGAAAAGCTAAACTACCAAATGGAAACAAACTCATCTCTGATCAGCAGAGCAGTTTGACCCTATACAAAACCCTTTGATTCCTCGAGACT